CTTATTACAGCAACACAAATCCTGAGCTCTCCCATATGAAGGTGCTTTGGATGGCATTCATGTTGTAGCTGCCAAATAAAGTGCAGAGGTTTCAGAATCATTTGTCAACACCAAAGGCAATCTTTACCAAGAACTGGTCCTTTCTTTCTGGAGGTCACTCCTCTGATCCATGGGTTTATTACTTAAAAACAGCAATTAATCTTGCTGCCTTCAGAATACAAATTATTCCTAGACAAGTTATTGTCTACCCATGATCCATATCTCTCGCTGGGCATCCCTGCTTGGAGGTGGATGAGATGGTTCACTGGCTGAACATCAAGGGACCTGGACCTGTTCTCTGTCTAGGATGCATAGCTAAAAGCCTCTGTTCAGTGGTAAGCAAGGCCCTTTCCATTCTGGGCTTCGGCTGCCTCACTACAAAATAATGCGATTTTGCCAGATGATTTCTAATAATGTCCTTCCCCTTTCAAAAATTCCATGATTATAAGAATCTCAAATTCCTCAACAAGTAATATTTTAAAAAAGCTTTTGTGTTAAAATGATGCATTTCCTATTAAATACTTTTTAAATGTGAACATGAATATTGTATTGAGTGAGTTTCTCTGGGTGCATATATGTATATATAGTGTATATACATATTTGTATGAGTATATACACACATATATACAATAACTGATAACATTAGGTGCTTATATGGGACTAATTGCTTCCAACTCAAAGCAGCAAATTTTCAAATCTGCAACAGATGTCGCTATGTGATTTCTCCTTTCTGTGCTGGATTTTTCAGTTAAAAATGCCCAGAGTAATGGTCAGTACTATTCTTCCCAAGAAAGAGATGTAGCTTTTGTATCCTTTGGATTTATTTCTTATAAATTTTCTTCATGTGCTGGTAAATTTCCAATCAAATTTTAGCATTGATTAGTTTGGCCCAATTTTAAAATACATACCAATGGACCTTTTGTTAAACACACACACACAAAAACATTTTTTAATGTAAATTCTAAGTGGCTGATTAGGCATTAAAATGTCACATACAGAAACCCAGAGAATAAGACAGTTTATATTCACAGCAATATTATCAATATTTTAAAGCCTGAAAATCATTAGCAACATAGGCCAAAGAATAATTGGCCTATGTATAATAAAGGATATGTATAATAAAGTGTAATAAAGGATAATTCAGGTATATATGAGGCCAAAATGTAGCAAGTGTGGGCAAAAGTCACTAAAAAAACTTCAAGAGCACTATTAATGACAATGAAAATTTTGGATTTTAGTTTTCACAGCATTTCTTTGAATAAAAATAGTCAGGCTAACATTATAATTGCAAGACATCTTTCCAATCTGACACTCGCTATCAACCACTTCCTGAAACATTTCACAGAAAGGTGACATCTCTTTCCCTTCAACCAATATATCCATCCTCCAATGCCCATCAGTCTCAACAGGTAGCTAGCATTCTCTTCTGTTGAAATTCAGAGATGGGAGAAAGTATTTCAAATTCTCCCTTTTAGACCCAAAAACCGGTTACCTTCTCAGGTTTTAAAGGGTGTGGAGCAAGATGAACAGTCAGGGAGCTGATGACCAACTCAGATAAGAATATGAAGTCAGGAAGTAAGAGAGGATGCGAAAGTGTCCTGCCTGTTGGCTTCTTCCAGGTCCTACTCCCCTTTACCAGGAGGGTCACTGGAGAAAACTGGATAAAGCATGTACAACATCCATATGAATAAAGCTCTTTGTTCCAGAGAACTGCCTCCTCTTTTATTCCCCCCTTTTTCCGTATTTGTTCATTTCAAAAGATTGCTCAATGGGTCTCTTGTTCCTCCAAAATGCCCCCGGCAAATAATGCAAGCTTGTCTCGTCACACAAGTCACTAAATGAAGCCTTGTGCGTCTCCAGTGACACACTGCAAATATAAAGTGGCATTAATGAGGGATATTTTATCAAAGCTATCACAGACAAGTGCAAGTCCCTCCTGTGGCTATTCAATTTGATGCAAGGAAAGGCAACAATAGCAGGGCAACACTTTTGTAAAGTCCCTATCCCTGGTATTCAAGCCTCAACAGGCCACAACAAGCAAAACTAGGCCTTTGGGCTCCTCAGCACCACCACAAGCCCCCACCCATCAGACATCCTACATAATGCTGAAAAAGGTAAGAGGAAGGTGACCAACTACTGGTCCACTCGGGATCGGAAACAACATCATGCATGCACCTAAAACATAACAGACATGATTTACTCTGGAGTGAGCTTAGGAAACCCCATTTTAGGTGCATTTCATTAATATCCATTCCATCCGAACACCACAGGAGGGCTGGAAGATTTTCTCCAGGGAATGGATGGATTCAGTTACCGAGGAAGACATAACCAGGACAATGGCCCTAGATCCCTATCCCAGCAAAGATATAAATGAAACAAACCTAATGAAGTTACATGACAGCTCCAACAGGTTTCTCTAACCCTGGAGTGGGACCTGAAGGCCTCTAAAAAAGCTTAAACTAAGAGGACTAAGAAAGAAAAGTCACAGGGTCACGGGTGTCCACCTGAAATCTACTCTGGTAGTCTAGGACCTGGGACAAGATCAAGACCCCTTTTAAAACTGACACCACACACACACACACACACGCATTTTTTTAAAAAAAGATTTCAAGAAAATCATCTAACCCCCTCACTACACATCAAACCCAATTACTTTCTAATTTGAACACAATCTGATAACCAGAGTACAAACAGGGATGAACACAAGAGCAAGAAGCTGCTTCCATGGAAACTGGCAACAGAATTTTCTTGTAGCTTTGACACGCACAGTTGAGTTCCAGACCGCTCCTTTCTAAAACAGCACATATCCCTCGCTGGGAAGGCAACTTCTTTCTTGCCACGAGATAGTTACAAATATAGTACAGCTACTACTTGGTGCCTTCAATGAGCAGGCTTGACTGAGGAGGTATAATCTAATCCTACTTTGCTGCCAAGCGGCATTGCACGGCTCCCATTTTTCAGTCGAAAGGCAATATCCCCGACCAGCGCTTTACCCCCTCCCCTTTTTTTGCAGCCAGTACAAGTCTATTGTTGCCTCTATTATGCGCCAGTTACCGAGTCTTTACTCAAGCTCACGTTTAACTGACACTGGCGGATTTTACAATGCAGCAACACGAAGAATCTCTTTCAGGAACATTTTATTGAACCCATTCAGTCAAAGACATTACCCGAAATGAAGTTGTAACCACACCGGCATCGGCTGAACCCAATTATCTCGTAACTCATAAATTAAGAATTCACAGAGGAAAAACACATAAACAACATCCGGAGAGACAGACCGTGGCATGGAGGAAAAAAATCCTCAGCTATGGAACTGAAGCTGCTGCCAGATTCCCAGCCCTATACGTTTCCCAATATGTTCCCCAAGCCAAGCTCCCTTTCAAGCCTTCTTTGGGGAGGAAGAGACCAACCCGACGTCCCCCAAATCCAAAGCTAGCACCCCCAGACATTCCCATTTCCTACAGCGTGTCTCCTGCGGTGTTTACGTAACTGTGTGTCCTCTAGCGTGTAAACAAAAGGCTCAGCCCAAGCGGAGAGGCGCCCCGGGAGCAGCACGGTGGCTACAGCGCTGAGCCCGCACGGGCCCGGGGCTCTGCAGGTGGGGGCTGAGCTCTCGCTGTCCTCCGCCACTTGTTGCTCGTGGGTCCTGCAGCTCCGAAGCTGCAAGGAGGGGCTTTGCAGGCACCGAGCCCTGCTGCATTCCCTCCAGCACCTCCCCACCCCACCCCCCAACCCCCGCGGCCTCGTGCCTCTCCGTCCTCGCTCCCCGCGCTAAGCCCGCTGTAGAAGGCCAGGGTCGCGGGGACGCCGCGCGACCGCTGAGCTCGGCGGTGGCGGGAACGGGAGGCTGGGTGCAGCACCGCCGGCCTCTCCGCTGGGGAAGAGCTCCGGCTCCCTTTTGTTAGCAAAAGCAAACACTGCCCTCTTCTTTCCCGACAGCGCCAACGCGCCCGGCACTCGGGCAGCCACACAGCGTGCTCCTCCCGAGTGCTCAGCGTCTTCAGGGAAAGCGCGGGGCGCGAAGAGACGCCCCTGGGCAAATTCCCAAGAGAGCTCTGCACACAGGGGTACCCGGCGGTCCCAGGGTCCTATCTGCCCACAAAGGCCGCAAACGCTCCCCCCACCACCCCCGAACTGCCAAAAGGACGAGCAGACTGGAAATCCGGTGTCCCCACTCGCGGCAGAGGATGCAGTGAGGCAGGCCGACTGCGGGCTCCCGGCTCCTACCCGCAGAGGCGGCGACAGCAATCGCCCCCCGCAGGGCCAAGCAGAGTAACTTTCCCTGCCTGGAGCAGGGCCAAGAAAACCCGCAGCCGAGAGGAGGGGGCTGAAGGGCCGTGGTCCGGCTAGAGGGAGTACTAGGGGCGCGCAGCTCGGGAAACAGGGGAGAAAGGCAGAGCGCGGGGAGAGAAGGAGCGGTGAGACAAGTCTGGGGATGTCCGGTGGACCAGTGAAGGATCACGCTGGAGGCGGCTGTTAGTCAGCCAAGCGGGGTGGGGGCAGGACGGCTTCGGGGATAGAGACTTGGAGGACCCGCTGGAGAGGTGGTGGTGAATGGGTAGCCCTGGGGGAAGCGAGGACCTGCAAGTTACATGTACAAGATCGAGTTTGGACTGTGCGAGAGGTGCCTACGATCCATCCCCTTCCCCCAAATTCCCTTAGCCCTCCTCCGGGCCCCCATTCTCATTCCACTCCGCACCAAGCCGGGGAGAGAAGGTATGGGTGCAGCCATCCCTAAGGACTTAATGCACACCCAGCTGGACAAGGGAGAAGGGAATGACCAATCCCCTCAGCCCCTTCCATCTTGGCCCTGAGTTTCCTCTCCACACTCCCTCCGCTTCAGATTTAGGAAGTGGGGGACGGTTGTCATGGAAACGTTTCCACCACCACCCCTCCTTGGCTACGGCTATTGGGGTGCCTCAGGAGATTTAGAAGGCCGACCGGCCGGTTCCCACACCTACCTGTGGGGATCAGTGCCGCGGCAGAGAGGAGTAACAGCAGAAGCCGGAGCCGGAGCCCAGAAGGCGCCACCGCCGCCGCCGCCGCCGCCGCACACAGGGATCCACTCGGCAGCACAGGACTCGCCATGTCGGGCACCTGCCTCAGACTGGCGGCGGTGGCTTCCTCCGGAGCCAGAGCGGAAAACTAATGAGATGCTAATAACATGCACTGGAGGCGGAGTCCTGACCAACCAATCACAGCGCAGAGAGCCCAACCCCACTCTCCGAGGACTCCCCCCTCCCCCAGCCTGACCCTGGCTCTGGTGCTCGGCGACGCGCCCGCGCCACCTAGGGGCGGGACCGAGGGGAGGGGCTTATGCAAATATGTTTATGTTAGAATTCTTTTTCCCTTCCCCGGGATCTAGGAAAAAGTGTCCTTCCGGGCGGCTGGTGCTTGGGGTCTCGAGCTCCAGGGGGCGGTTCTGGCTTCCCACACACCTTTATTAAGAATGTTTACAGCAGTCACTATGTCAGACCAAGGACTGGAGAATCTCCCTTGGAGGTTCCCCTGCCCCGTACAACGAGTCCAAAGGCTTTGAAACCGGACGTTGCGAATTTCCGTCACTCACCTGGCAACGAAGGAATAGGTCTTTGGGAAACGGGGGCTGTTCGGGAGTGGAGAGTGAGAGGGCAGGTCCCCGGATTGACAAGAAGATCTGGGAGAAGTAAGTGCATGCGTGCTTTGCACGTCCGGCGGAGCCGTGGAGCCCGCTCCACAACGTAGCGGTAGACTTGGGCACAGTTGGGAGAAAAGAGCCTGAGTCGGGTGCTAGGATTTTTGAGTCTGTGTCTTTGTGATAGATTCTCAGCAAATATACCTCGAGGAAGGTCGGCTCAGGCTCCCCAGCTTGCTGAAGGTCGCCTTCCTGGGTTTACTATATATGTATTTAATAATATATGACCATATGTGATTCTGTATATTTACGATTACACACGTTAAACAAAAAAAGTCTTTTCTGTCAAGGCTTCTGGGTGGAGTGCGGAGGTGGGAAGGGGGGTTCCCGTGTGAAGATAGTATTTGCCATTGTCCTCCTATAGGGTTCAAACCCAGTTCCCCTTCCACGGTGCCCCCAGGATATTGCTTCCACATGCCCCCAGTCCCTCAGGCACGGGGGGACCAACAGGTACTTTCAGCTTCCCGTGTTTCAAGGAGAGCCCCTCCAGGCTGAAGAGACTTGCTTCTCCTGAATGGCTGTCCCTCCTCTAAATTGCCTTGCGTTTCTTTTGAACCAAGCAGCTGGCTCTCATGTTTGTCTGCTTTTTAATTACTTATTTTCTTCCCATCTAGAAGATCATGTGCGTACTGACCCTCTGTTGCTCAAGCATCAAATTGAAGGACGAGCCATATTAAGTGTAAAGACTTATGATAATTTAAGCATTCATAGAATGCAGGACAATAAGATGTAGGAAATACAATTTGCATAATAAATATCAATATCACAACATCTAAAACAAACCATGACAAATTATCTGTGGCTAAATGATCAAGAAATTACTGAAGGTACATTTCTCAGTATGAGCTACAGTCTAGTGCAGCTGCACCAAATGACTTGGCCAGGCCCTCTATCCTCATCTTGCTAAAAATAATAAATAAATAAATAAATAAATAAATAAATAAATAAATATCACATATCAAAAAGGAAGTCAAGATCTTCCAACTCACCAAATGAGTTACACTTAAAAACAGTCTATTATCCATTATGCATAAACTAATTTCAAGACTGCACTGTTCTCACACCCTGGATATTCTGCTCTGTAATTGCAGCCTCATGCATGAACTGCAGGCATTCCTCCAAAAGTTGGGAAAGCTCCAATAGGCAAATAGCACTACGTAAGTCAAGAAACCATCACCATGTGGTCACCAAGATAATGTCCATTCTGCAACATCCTACCTGTTCTTATCACCTCTGATAATAAAGCTACCTGGATCAGACCAAATGTAAAGCAGTCTCAATAAAATCAAGGTAAACAATTTGAGGCCATATAAATACTGAAAGTGAGGTGTAAACTATAAAGTAAGGTCCTCCTATATTCAGAACTCTAGCATCCCAGCACAGAGACTAGCACATAATAACATTTGCTATTATTATTACTACTTTTGCATTTATTGAGTTCTTATTAAGTATTTTGCGTGCATAATTTCATGTGATCCTTGGAACAATCCCCATGGTACTTACTATTGTTATCTCCCATCTTATAATTTTAAAACATCGTTAGAATGATTAAGTCATTGGCCCAAGGTCAAAGTTTCTAAGATGTAAACAAAGCTTATGCAATTAACCACTATGATATACTGTGCCTCAACAAGTATTTGGTAAGTGAAAGAATACATTTCACATTATAATGCATGAAAAATAACCATAGCTATATTTTTAACATGAGGTGAAAATATGTCAGGAGCTCGGAAATAACATTTTTTAAAAAATAACAGGATTGCATTATACTCCTAAGGAAAAGAGTTCCTCATGAAGCTGGATCTCCAGGAGCATCTAGTCAGGCTCCAGTCCTCCCACACTAGGAACACAGTATGGGGACATTGGAAGATGTGCTGTGTTTTCATATCCCTTTATTCTCTTGGCACATCAAATGAACACCTACTCAAATTTCCAGTTGGCAAAGAACAACGTGGGACATTTTTGAAGGAAATGTTAATGCTGTATGACTTACCTCACCAAATGAATGCAAGTAGCTTTAGAAATTTCCACCAAAAAAAAAAAGTCACCTATGCCATAAGTTTAAGGAACTTGTATGTCCAATTCCCCAGGTCATGGGATGCCTTATCTCTGTGTCTGCATGGAAATAACCAGAGCTGAACATTTAGGATTAAGTTGTTGCTATGCTATCCACTAGCCATACTCTTCTCCCACCCCCAGCTCTTTCACACTAAAGATCTCGCCAAGCAATTTAACATATGGAACATGTGAAGAATGTATCAAATTCCCACAGCCACTAAATGCAAGTTATGACTATTCTGGCTTTGTCATAGTAAAGCTCGTCATTTTCTGCTTTGCAGACTGGAACTCCTGGCCAACTACAAGTTTCAACATTTTTCTCTTTGCTACATGGATTTAACCAATTTTGAAAACCAGATGGTGTTTTTGCCATTTATAACTGATAATCAATTGTTATATGAATTTAATTTTTTCAAGAAAAAACTGAAATACTTATCAGAATTACAATCTGGGTGTTACTTGTGTTAGAATAAAATTGCCGGAAACACTAGAGCTCCTGTTTTGTTTTGTTTTTTTTCTTAAGAAAACTTTGAAGAGTGAGAGGGAGAGATCCTATACTGTTTGCCTTCACTAATGCAGTGAGAAATATGGATAAACATTTATGAAAAATAAGCATGGAAGAGAGATTCATGTTTAGGGAACACATCCAAGATTATCAGTGGGCACTAGTAACATTTTGCTTTTTAAATGCTAATTACTTGAGTACCCATGTATAAAAAGCAATAAAGACAAATTATTAAGGAAAAGAAAACAATATTTGGTGTCAGTATTTGCCCTGCCAATGCATTATTTGAGTACTCATAGGAAAGTTATGTAATCAGTTTATACACTGAATGTTTTTGTCCCCTACCCCAATTCCAAATTCATATGTTGAAGCCCTAACCCCCAAATGATGATACTTGGAGGTGGGGCCTTTCAAAAGTAATTAGATTTAGATGAGGGTATGATGATGAGGCCCCTGTGATGGGATTAATGCTGTAGGAAGAGACATCAGAGCTCTCTCCACATGCAGACACTGAAGAAAGGTGATGCAAGTACACAGCTAGAAGGCAGCCTCCTGCAGGCCAGGAAGAGGACACTCACCAAAACCCAACTATGCTGGCACCCCACTCTCAGTCTTTCAGCCTCCAGAACTGTGAGAAAATAAATGTCTGTTATTTAAGTCACCCATTCATGGTATTTTGTTACAACAACCTGAGATGACTAAAATAATCCTTAAACCTCAGCTTCCACTGTTAAAGGTATATTAAAATTATAATAAATGTCAGCTTTTTATAGAAAGTCTTCCATAGAGTAAAGCAAGTTAGTAGTATGTTAGAATCTTGGACTGGGTATACTCTGGGTCTGTTTAGTAGACAGCTCATCTAAACTTAGACTAAGACTAAGCAACTCATCTTTGGAAACAACTGTCTGCAAATCTCTGTGAACAATAAAGCCTGCTAAATCCATATTCCTAAGTGAATAATTAAACACTTTGCCCAAAGGTTTATTCTTCTGGAATCATAGAGTTGATAGTAAACTCTTGAATATAAAGAGTTGAATATCAGTTTGAAAGAAAGAGAAATACTGAAGTAGGTTGTGGAATTGCACGTAAACTGGGTCAAGGAGTAGGCTCAATGCGCATGGAAAGGAAATTTGCCATAGGGACCAAGCCATAGCTTTTTCTAATCAGATATCTAGGAGTATATCCAGATATACAGCTGATCCAAATATATATCCAGCAAAGAAAAGTTATAGAGTGGTCTAATGGAACAATCACTGTTAAATTCTGGGAATACAAAGATGAATGGGAAACAATGTGTATGGTCAAGGAACTCAGAGTATAGTAGAGGAGACAGACATACACCATAATTATTCTATGTGATAAAGGTTTTTTTAATAAGTGCACATAGCTTTATGTGAACAGACAAAGGAGGCACCCAACTATACCCAAGGAAAAGATGTGAATGTCTCTGTATATTAAGGGAAAATTCACACAGGAGAATGTTGATGAGCTGAGTCTTGACAGTGGAACAAGACTCCATAGGGTAGACAGGGATAGAGAGGGAAGGTGTGTCGAGAGCGGAAGTCATTTACAAGGCTCAAAAGCTTAGGAGAGCATGGTATATTAGAGGGCCATGACAAATAAAATGGCTGGATCACAGCTTGCCAGACAGCAAGTGACAAGAGAAGAGACTGGGAAAAAATATACAGGGAGCAGAGAAGGCTTTAACTGACATGCTAAGAAATTTCAATTGTTGATTATAGGTAATGGGAACATATTGAGCTAGTAGAATTTCATGGTCAGATTTACATTCTGGAAGTATTATTTCAGTGATATCATGATA